ACACAGTGATTTGTTCATGATCTCTTTGCATCTAGTATGCCATAAGTGCTAGGACGTAGTCCGCTCGTACAGTCGTACAGTCTTGTGGCTTCCCGAATTATAAACGATCAATGACTAGGGCCACTTTTTTGTTAGATTCAGAAACCGGTTTCCAATCTACACTAAACAATTCGATCACTCTATACCCCGCAAAACAAAATACGGCCAACACCGGGGCCATTTTTTTGATGAACCGATTTTAAAGAGTTAAGACTAAAAACGATCTGGAAGAGACTAGAACTGATCTGTTTTGAGGAACCAGCTAGATATCAGCTAGCTATCGCTAGATACCAGCAATGAAATGAAAATTCATTCATTTATTTGATTACACACTTTTTTGTGTGCGACGAACCACAGACGAAGAGCTGCTGCTCATTCATGGATAACCGGTAACCTAAGCTCCGGGACTTGACCGGGTGAATCACTTAGGACCGCGGTGAGTTAGGTCGGGTATTGCATCGGATCACATCAACTTTGCACGTGAATGATCATACAACTAAAACTTACACGGTTTGAAGTTCCATACAGTCAATCCCAAAAGAATGCATAACTACGGATTTTGAAATGGAATTCAACAATTATGACTTATTAGCCGGTCTTCAAATCCTTCCCGACGGCGTCATCTGCTACGCCGCTTCGACAATACGGAAGGTTTAACCAACTCTAGGCACTTGTAGCATGAATTTCTGGTGCGTCCGCCACTCTGAGCCACTCCAAAAAGTGGAAAATATTAACTTAGGCCTACAAAAAAGAATGCTTTTCGGAATTGTCAACAGACGCAAAACACGCCAATACTGATTGCACTAAGAAGGATTTAGGTGTTAATCCAGTTCCGAACGGTAGTTCTATTCTGTGTGAATGACCTCCTAGATGTCTTAGAGGTAACGGAAAGCACCATGTAACACATAGAACCAGAATGCGATAATGTTCATTCGATCTGTAAGAAACGCCGAGCTCGCTCAAAGGACCTTTCACAAAATCGGGGAAATGATTAGAAAATGTAGATACGGCCTTGCTGCAGCTGAGAAATGCAAGCTTATTTTAGCCAGGATATCTGGAATTATGTAAGTGGGTCGCATGACCGAGAATAGAATCACAGAATGGCCTATGCAGCCCCACCAAACGACTAAATCGCTTGAAAGCGACCATTTTTGTCAGTTTCTATTCCGGACGCTATTCCATTAATTTAGAGGTACGATAATCTCCTGTGCGATCGAGGCTTTTACAACAAAATGGGATGGCGTCCGCCTTAGAGTGGCTGTACCTAGACGTGATATGATGGTTTCTGCGATCCAACGAGCTACAAGGACGATTGTTGTATGCTNAGATGCCTGACAAAATGAAATCTTCTCGTCTAGTTAAGAAAACAAACGAGTGAGATTAAGCTACAATGGATAGCCAGCATTTCCTAGGCCGCCGTGTGACGAATGACAGCAGCAAAGCGAAGGATTGCACGCATTTTTAAACCTCGAACGGTGTACACCGAACTGGAACACCTTTGTTGTCGTTTCGAGGTTTTAATGAAGTTGAAAGATCGTGTATATCGGGCCGCAGTTAGATAAGTTTTTTCCCTACAGTTGGGTGAAGAATAGAGACGACGACTAGTGCTTTGACCATCGATGTTTAAGTAGTTTGGCGCAGATAGGAACCAGCGAGCAAGTAATTGATCTCGAGATGAAGCACCTCGTATTTGGGATCACTTCCGTGGGAGTTTATTGGTCACACTGAATGTGGATGATTAGGATTCGGTGGTTAGAACACGTGTTGCGCACGCCTAGCAGCAGTCATCTTCCGCACAGGGGGCTTGTTTGCAGTTGCTGCTTCAGGGTAGGGAAAACCACATGGAGGTCAACAGACAGTGTGAACACGAGACATGAATAAATGCCAGGGAAAATTAAGTACAGTAGGTGGCTCTCGCATTAAAAAAGGCTCCGATAATGGTTAGTTGGGAACATTGAAGGACGTGCGAGAACTGCTAACAGTGGCCTTTTTGTCACTACTGGGTGGTGGTGGAGCAGTGATTTAGTCGCTGTCACCGGCGCTCTTTGGACCCTATGGTCCGAGGTTCAAGCCCCGCCAACACCACCCAACTTTTGTGGTAGGCAGCTTTGCTATCGCCCGGTCCAATACCACGCCTAACCTATCGGGGTCTTATGTGGTTCGCCATTCCAAGCCCCGGGGCTCAGGTTACCGGTTTCTATCACTGAACAGCAGGTCCTCATGAAAATGGGATTTACCCTGTCATTACACTAAGGTGTGTAATAAAAAAGACCAGAATATATAATGAAGTATCTGTGTGTGTGCGGACGGTTACACTGTGTTCGTGACATTGATCATTGAGCTTTAACTTCCCTCGAAACGGGTAAACTCCATCTATCTTACACGTTCATATGTTGTGTATATGGTGTGAGCTTCGCAGAGAGCGGCGAACGTAGCTTCACTGTATGATGAAGATGACACAACAAGTACTGTCATTTGCCAGTGAAGAAACCGACCATAACCTAGAGTCATTTTGACCAAGAAAAGCATAAATTCATAGCCAATGGGTCACACAAGTAACGGTAGGTTCCCTGGACGGGGACCCCGAGATTATGGTAATCCGTGGTTAGAGACACTGAGTGATACAGCTGCGTGTTGCAAACAGCAGCGCTGATGCATGACTTAACTCTCAACATTCCCTTCTCTCTGCTCTTTTATCCAAATGGGCAGCAGTCAAAAGACAGCAACTAAAACCGGCGTGGTTGGTTGTAAAAACTGAAACTAAAAACCCAATGGCGGTTTGGGACGATAATGATGCGGAAGAACGTGCGCGATGCAGTAGAACGACCATTAAAAAGTAACAAGGTTACGCAAAGATCGATGAGAGAATTCATTCGGATCAAGTGAGGAAAAACGACGACGATGTATTGGCAGTCTTAGAAACAGTAAAACACATCCATCTGATATTATGATCCGTGCCCACATAAGTTCCGCTATCCGTGAGTCCCTGGAACCTCGGGCCTTAACTAAATACCCTACATTGGAGTACGCAACAGAAGTCTGAGAAACTATGGTTGTGATTACTGATTGACACGAGGCGTCATGAAAGTATGCAATGCATCGATCAAACATTCCATAGAATACGAGGAGAAAAAAACGAAGTTACAGACTAACTGTGTTTTTCGTTTATTAGAAAATGACAGACAGATCAGGAGGTGATTGACCAGATTAAAATTAGAAAACATCAAATACAATAAAACATAGAGAGAGACAAAAGAAAGATGTTAGGAAAAAATACAAATGCGTCTTCCTCAATTCAGTGGAGCGGAAAAGTTTACACTTTGGTGTACTTTTTCGGGGGGCGGGGTCCTTGTGTTGGAATTAGGTTGTCACACCAAGTCTTTCATTGGTGGTGCAAGCACACCTTGTGATTCCAAACGCCTCCAGGTGGCCAACAAGGGATCAGCGGTCCGGGTGTGCCAAACAAGAATCTGAAATCAAAATGCCAGCAAACGAATATTACTGCTTTGGAAATCGCGTTCCCCCGGGGGAGAACGAGTGCGAAAATTGATCACACATCACACACCTGTTGACATCCGTCCGCTTTTGGTTCCAATTCACTCCAGTGTTTCAAACCAAGCTCCGAAAGGAACAGCGATTCCTGCATTCCACGAGGGCGATTGTAATCGAAACCGGCATGTGTGTGTTTGAGTACGAGATCGATGTTCACCGCGAATCCAGCCATATCAACGGGGAAAGGACGATCGGGTTTATAGGCTGTCCACATTTGGGTCACACGCGACCTGTTTTCCGGAGAAGTAACACAGCCTTCAAATGGCAGTTCACCGGCAAAAGCCACCGGCCACGTAGAAGCACGCTTGGTAGAACGAATCTATAATAGAAACGAGTGGGTGAGTGAACAACTGTTTTGCGGATATTCCTAGTCATGCTCTTACATGTCACAATACAGCACCCAGAATAGATAAATCCTGGGAACAGGATGATGATTACATCATGAATGTGACTTTTTTGATAATTACGTTTCACCTGTGTTTGAACTCTGAGTCATGGCGGGATTCGAACCCATGCCTGGACGCCTTACTACGACATACGCTCCACCAGCCCGTCCACGAGAATACGTATGTTCGACTACAAATCCACTGTAGAGTACGTGAACTGTCCACCCTGTCAGTTTTCACTAGACTTGACCGGAATTCAGTGAATGCAATCTGAGGTAGTACAAGTTGTGTCTTCCGAAAAGTAGTCGAATGCCAATTACTCGTCACAGCCAAAAAGATCAAAGCTCGCGACGTGATCCCATAGCTCAGCTGGTAGAATGAGTATACAAAAGTGTGCGCGATGTTTACACGCGGGTTCCGATCCCGCCGAGGCTTCCATACTTTTACCCAGTTTACACCTACGATGAGTACAAGCGATGCTGAATTCGGTGTTGGCTACTATGAGGATTCAGTTGATTTGAAAATTCAACATAGTATCTCTGGTACCGAAAGATTATGCTCCCCACGGAATTATATTATCAATACGTCCTGTGACCGCGTTTGGCATGAAGGTCTGCTGCCGAAATGACCTACGTTCAGATTTCACCAGTTTCTCATATCGTGGCTCCAATGTTTCCTCAGAAAGCGAATCATCTCCGTTCGAGTTCTATCACGGCCATTCTATGTGAATGCCGGTGTTTCCCAAGGCTCCATGTAGGACCTACATGAGCGACTTTCCTGGTCAGGGTTTTCAAAACATTACGCCAGGTCTTAGCTTGACCACCCGTTACCTTTATTTATCCACTTCATGCCTCGACAAACAAAGCGCGCCGTGGCAATCTATTTGGCGACATGTGAAACACATGTTCCAGACAATGTAATGGAGGTTGCCCTGTTACTACAGAGAACAACCGCGGTTAACTAAAACTTTGCGTCGAAACTCACAGACCAATTCGTGCAACGCGGAGTGGATAACGGTGTTCGAACACCAACAGTCTATTTTTATCCTGTTCCCACAATGGCCAAGTCTCCGTACCGCAAAGCAGCATTTGCGAATTCGGACAAGTAGTCAGCGATATACTTTTCCTTATGAGTTATGATTCTGACCGGCGGAAAAATTGACCTAACTACTGAAGATGTTGTTGGGGAAACAAGGAGGGCCTCTGCACATCCTCATAATATTGACAGACTTCCGAGTTTGAAACGCCATCAGACCACCTTATTTTAGACATATCGGAGACACTAGCGGGCGATGTCCTTTTTAGTAGCCAAAGTTGTTTATGTAAGGACGGCGGCTCGACAGACGGGTCTTATTTTGTTGCGTAAAAAAAATGGCTTGGGAAGTTGTATGAACTCACTCCTTGCGCAAATCACAAAAAGCTTGGCTTCGTCTCCAGGTTGGTCGCTTGAGTGGCTGTTAGATCCTAAGTACATCAGCTGATGCGGATGATGTGTGACTCGTCTGGGGATGTTGGTGCGGCTGTTTTCGAGGCGTTTATTTCCAGACCAGATGAATCAGATGATTCCCAACACTTGCCCCCTCCTCTTTGTATAGCAGCAAGCTCAAATCAGTCCAGTGTTCCAATACTGCAGCCACGCGCGGCGCGGAGTTTAAGTATCCGCTCTTTCTCCTCTCTTCCGGGTTAAAAATGAGACAATTCAACTGGTCAATAATCCGTCTTTGACTTTCAATGGGCAGTCACTTTCCCATCACCGGGAAATTACTACCGCTAGTATTTTGGTTTCTGTTCCTGTCGCATTAGCGGTTCCCCTACACACGTTTGTTTCTCTTCGCTGGCAATCAAAGACGGTCAGCAACCGGTATCATGTTTTTGACTCCATATATCGAACTTCAATCTTTCAGTTTATTTTTTTATCCAGAACCGCTAAACTGTGTCCGAACACTTGCAGGGTTTCTTTTCTCACACGGGCTCAACATATGTGGTTCCTACACGATTGTTCCTCACACAGATGTTTTTACTGTGTCCTTGTGGGCTTAAGCTCTTTTGCATTACATCACCCCGTGGTGGTAGCGCAGTGGTTTAGTCACTGTCACCAGCGTGCTTTGGACCCTATGGTCCGAGGTTCGAGCCCCGCCAACGCTACTCAATTTTCGTGGTAGGCAGCTTTGCTGTCGTCTGGTTCAATACCACGCCTCACCTATCGATGCCTTATATGGTTCTCCACTCCAAGTCTCGGGGCTTATGTTGCTGGTTTCCACCACTGAACTGCAGGTACTCGTCACTATGGGCTTCGTTTCGTCTGATGTTCATCACTCCGTGTTTATCTGGATATCTCGGATCGGATCATTACTGAGCCCTTCTTTTCGTTTGCGGAAAGGTCCTTATAGATTGCAACTCAACCCCCACTCCATTCCCGTCAACTACGGACGTTTAATGAACTGGTATGTCCTACAAAACAACGTGTATGTAGCTATCAGAAAACAGGAGTAAAGAATGAATGTCTTTGGATCCTTATGAGGAGTTATGCACTGATAAGCAGCATTTTGCTTAAGTGAATTTCAAGTTTTAATTTCTCAGGTGGAACAGACACAGAGATCGGTCACAACAAAGTCATCCAATAAAAGGGAAGTAGGACTTACATCATCAAACAGCTGAAGGTCATATGTGTTGTCATCATCTGCTATATAAAGTACACCACGATCTTTGCCTTGAACTAATGTTTGTCTTATCCACTGAAGACCGAGATTACGTTGAGCAATCCCCTTGGGTCTCCACCAGTAAGGCTCGGTATTGCGCACACGTTCATGAGGAGGCGTTTCCACGTGGAGGTAGGTGTACGAAACACCACACTTAGATAGAAGGGATACCGTTGAGCTGTGGGAATACCAAATGGATTAAGAAATATGATCGTTGGTACAAAAAACATTTGAAGTGATAACCGCATATGCCAGAAACACTCATTCGTTGCCATCCATTAGAATAAAACAAGACACAATTCAATCAGAACTGATAGTGTTTTCATTCAACGGTATTGGCATTTAGTGCTCTCGTTAAGCACAATCAGGGTTCTCAGTGCAAATACAGGGTGAAATGGTTCGTTAAACCGTTCTCTTATCCTATAATGGTTGATTCCATTCTATCTAAATACGGAATTGTCTACATTGAGAGCAACTGGTGTCCATGTAGACGAAGGCGGCCATTTAAAATTCAATACCCTATACGGTGGATTCATGATCTGAAAAGTGAAGCTCTCTAAAGTGAAATTATTCTAGTCAGAAAATGACATCAAATATCCGTGGATTCCGAAATTGCATCCAACAAAGCAATGAACACAACGTTTATTACTGAATTGCTTCAAATATAATTCTGCATTAGTCTTCATGTTGCAGTCGCTAGATTCCGTGATTGACGAGGCTCCAAAATCTGCAATCTGTTCGGTGGTAAACTACTTACAGCACTAATTGGTAACTAGTTTTGGCGAGGGGAAAAATATTTCTGATGGAATTTTACCGGTAGGAAGAAGGGGAAAAGAAAGAGGGTTGGGTATTAAAGACAAAGAATTAAACAAAGGTTGGGATTTTCGAACAGTAGCCCACTTATCCCTACCCATCCCGCCAGACGCAATGGGAATCGCGGTTATGATTATTCTGCGCGACGACCGATGCAAGATACAGTTGTTTGAATTGTGTATGCACTTAACAGTACAACGTGACTGGATTAGGTAGCAAAAACTCCGCGATCTCCCGCCACATCTTTTGAATTGGATGCACGACTATTTTACCGACCGACGCCAATTCACTTGTCTCAATGGTATTAGGTCTTCTACTGTTACTGTAAACCAGGGTGTAATGCAGAGTGCAATTTTATCCCTTTTTCTGTTATCCATTTATATTCCAAATTTGTCGATCACCCCAAATGTTTTTACTTTCAAATATGCCGATGATATAGTAGTTGGTGGTGTATCTCACAACAACAACCCTTCAATCGGCCATAAGTTCCATTTCTGAATGGTCCGATGACGTTAACCTTTCTTTAAATCCCAATAAAGATATTGAAGTTTTGTTTTCCATTGACCGTAGTCCATCAACTCTTTCTGGATCACCTGTTCCCAATATCTTGATCAATAACTTAAAAGTTGAAAGGTCAAAACATTTCAAATATCTTGGATGTTTCGTGTTTGCTGACCTCAAATGATCCT